AATGAATCATTTTAATAATTCCTTAAAATATCATTCCCAAGTCAGTCCATATGGCTTTCTGATCTCATACTTAGTAATAAACACAAGGACATAAGGTTAAAAAATGAAGTATTTCAGGATGCTCCGGTCCCTTATTCTATTGCCCCTCAAAGGAACAGAGTGAGCTGATCCTTACTTTCAGATAGGAATTAAGAGTGATCTCATCCTCTCTCTTGGCATTGGCTGCCACCTTCTTGGGGAATAATTGCCTAATAAACTCAGGCTTTCCCCTCAATGGCTCCATAAAACACAGGGTTAGCTTTTCAGAACAAATTCAGCATGAATGCTGCTCATACCTGAAACAGAGAAGTCTAAATAGATGTGGTTCTATTGAATGATGTCAGAAAATCCGATTTTTGGTGAAGTATTTTTCTGGAACATCTGAGCTCGAGCTCAAACACACATTGGAGTTCTCAATCAAGTCAGACACTATGGTTACATTCATAGAAATATAATTGTTAGGGAAAGTCTCAGAAAGATAAGTAAGTCTACCATATCAGGGACACACCTACGTGCATAAGCAAACAGGTGGCATTGAGGACTATGAATATGCATGTCTATGTGTGGGTGTGCATAACACACACATCGAATTTCAGCGATCCTGGGATTCAAAAACGCCAATTAGAATAAGGAGGACATTCCATTTTGCTCATTAAACTCGAAAGTTCAAATAAATAATGCTGGTGTCCTTAAAACTGTAGTGTAGTTTTTAAATAGCGCATAGGAGAAAGTCAACTTTTACTGTCTTTTTAAATGCTATTTAGAAATGGGAATCAAACAGGAATCAAATTGGCCTCAAAGCATGTATAGTATGTATTCTTTGTAATAGTAATTTATCTATGACTCTGTGCTTGGAACATGTGTAGAAAATTGTGACAGCAAAATGTATAATATTAAAAAAGTGAAAACTACCTAAAAATCCGGCATTAGTTAGCAATTTAAAGCAATGTTTTTGATGACATTTTTGGTATGTAAATTACTCTGGGTAAAATAATCAGGGTGAAAATTATATGGAGAACTTCGTGACCTTAGCTGTATTAGAGCATGAAGAAAATACCCAAGAATGAAGTTATTTCTTGCCAATGGGATTATGGTGCACTTTTATTTGAGTATTTCTTTAATGTTCTCCATAAACTATATAATCAAAAAGTGAAAGTAATTTTTAAAAAAGGATACTGAGTGCTCATCTGGAACACCATCATGAACACACAATATGAAAAACTAAGGACACAAAGGGGTATAAAATATTGGAATAAACTGAGTTGGCTTTTCCCAGAATTGAAATAACTCTTTTCTTTCATTAATTGCAGAATTACTTTTTAAGACGATAATTTCACTTTCAAAGATCCAGAGAGCTCAGTTTGAGGTACATTGAGTCAGAGTAGAAAAAATAAATAAATAGTAAGAAACAATGTCATTTTTAAGGAGAGTGGTTTCAAATGGGTTTGGCACAATTGAAAGTGTGTCTTTGAAATGTGTTTAGAATTTCAAGACAAGGAAGAACTGTCACCTCATATTGCTTGTGAATTACTGCACATCTGGTCCTCCTGCCCTGGGACAAGACTGTAGCAGGGAAAGGAAGACATTAAAAGATAAAGAACATTGCTTTGCAGTCAAATCTCAGATTTCTTTTTTTCCCCATGCTTACCATATTTGACAAAAAAAAAAAAAAAAACCCCAAAAATGTAAATCATGTTTCTCCACTCTTGGGAACTTAGTGTACAGCCTGACATCGTATTATTCTGCAATTCTTGCTCAGCCAGCCCTCCATGGAGGTAACATTAAGTTTTGCGTGGTATTAGCAACATGATAAGTGAACTCACTCAATTAACCACCTTCATCTCATTTCTTTGAAAGTTCTCTTTTCTTTTTTGAGTGCTAGAATTGGCCACTTCCTTACAGTTGAAATGCCACAATTTAGAACAGCTAACCTTTAAAAATAAAGAAATAAAGAAAAGGCTCAGAGCTGCAGTTTTATATCAACAGATATTATTGCTTTAGTTAAAGTTTAGTTTTATTTTTCATTCTCATGATTTTTTTTTTGTAGTGATAGGCTTTAGTTTTGTTATGGTATAGGCAATGTTTAAAATGATTTTCTGTCTGTGCTGGAAATGTTCCGCACCACTCAGGGTAACAGTACCTGTTAACGCAGGGAAAGAGCAAGACAGGTGGCATGGAGACCATGAAGGATGGATTTTTCTTTTTCTTATCAATCCCGCCTTCTTTTCCCCTCCCAGCTGTTGGGTGTCTTTCATACATACATCTTTACTCAACTTTGTAGCTACTCATTTCAGAAATAATTGTTTTCTTGGGACTTTCAAGATGAAAGAACATAGCTTGTCTTCCTAAAAAAATAAATACCGTGATTTTTTTTTAATTGTCATTTTCCTTCCCTTCCTTCCTCCTTTTCTTTTCTCAATGACCTATTAATGAAGTCCTATTATATGCCTTACCAAAGAGCTAGATGCTGCGAGTGTAAGAGTGAACAAGACAAAGTCCTAAACCTTAAAAAGTTTATAGTGAGTTAGAGGTCACAGAAAAATAAAGAAACATTTCCCAAAGAGTGTGATCATTGCCACCTTTAGTAGAGGTAAGAACAGTGACTCTAAAAGAACCCAGTGTGGACACTTTACTCAGATGTTGGGGTGGAGAGAAGTGGTCATATCTGTTGTCATTCAAATTGTTGAATCTATGGTACTTGGGTCTGGAGGAGAAAGAGAAAAGAGGAATTAAGAATCCCACCTAATCTTTAAAAAAAGGACCCTATCAACTCATCTACAAAACAGAAACAGACTTACAGACATAGTAAAAAAATCTTATAGTTACTGGGGAAATGGTTGGGAAGGGATAAATTTGGAAGATTGAGATTTACAAATGTTAATTTGTATTTTTTTTTAAATAGATATAAAAAAAAGTCTGCTGTATAGCACAGGGAACTATGTTCAATATCTTGCAATAACCTTTAATGAAAAAGAATATGAAAATGAATATATGTGTGTATATGCATGACTGGGACATTGTGCTGGACACAAGATATTGACACATTGTAACTGATGGTACGTCAATTAAAAAAAAAAAAAGAATACCTCCTAACATTGAGAGAAGAAAGAGAGAGAGAACGAAATGCCATGACCATATTATAATTTTAGTTCAGTATAAAGAATAAGTTGGAGAAAGATAAGATTGAATAGAGAAAGTACAGTTGAGGTTCCTTTATAATAATCCAAGCAAAAGGTAATTGTGGTCTAAACAATAGAGGTAGTAAGACTCACAAATAGATGTTAAAGGTTTTTAAAAGACAGAATCATGAGAAGTTGGCAATTGGTTGTAGGTGCTGGTGAAAGGAGGAAAAGGCAGTAATGAAGACGGTGGGGGCTGTGGCTTAAGCAACTGAAAGGTTGATGGATGACATTTACTGAAATTCAGAGCACAGGTGAAAATGCAGTTTGTGGAGGATGAGAACATGAGTTCAGTTTTGGAAATACTGAGTGTAAGAATTTGACCAGATATATGTAATATGAAATTGAATATAAAGGTCTGACGCTCAGGGGAGCTATCCAGACTATAAACATATGTTTAGAAACATAGATGTGATTGAAGTCAAAGGAACATAGGAAATCACCCAAGAAGAATATATAAAAGAAGAGGGCCTAGGAGAGAATCCTGAAAAACACCAAGGAAAAAGTTCATTTCAAGAAGACTTTAGTGTCCCAAGAGGCTCCTGATGACTTTGTCAAAACCAGTTTCAGTGGTACAGCAGACTCAGAACCCAGACGGCAGGAAGTCGAGAACCAAGGAGCCTGAAAAGCTGTAGATGTCTTCATCAGTTGATGCACGTATATTTTTGGGACAGATTTAATCACAATAAACTGAATTCTCTTAGGTTGTTTTGGAAGAGGTTAGCAAATACCATTGGTAGTTGACAGCAAAAATATGATTCGCTTTTCAATTTTTCAATTAGTTTGTTGAAATTATGTCATTTTAGATTTTTTTTTAAAAAATATTTTGATGATACAACCTGGTGAGGGTAATGGACTAGTTAATTAAGAATTTTACTATGCCTCTCAGTGTGAGCATTTGCTAAATTTCATGTTGTATAAAATCATTTGTTTTGATTGGCCTCTGAATTGGAGAGAAAGTTCTGCTGGGGATGAGATAAGTGGTGTTCCCTAACTGAAATGAAATTTTTAATTATGAAGTATAATGAATGATGCAGAGTTTACTCTAACGGAATAAATACGTTCAGTCACTGGAGACCGATAAAGATTAGTAAACAAAACAAAACACACAAATAGATTCCCACCCATAAATCTTCAGGAACACAGTACTTCTCAAAGGAGAAAAAATATTCAGTGGTTATTTGGTCTTCTTCTTCAAATAATAAATATTAATTCAACATGGCTGAAGTAAATTACAGTATTTAGCTTTCCGAAGATGGCGTGGGAATATGTAGTTAAGTGGGGAGTCCAGCCAGCTGTTTCCTTGGGATAGAAATATCCCCAAAGTAATTTTAAAATGCTTCTACTTTTACACAGGAAAATTTTGGAGGCAAGATCACTTTATGATTACTTTTGAAATTTCATGGATATTGAAATTGTTCCAGAATTGAAAGATTGTAAGATGTCAGAAAGGAACATTTACATTCCTTCCTGAATTTAGAGTTTGTCATTCTTCAGGATACTGGCTGATGATCCAGAAAAGAAAGATGGTTCCATTTTCTTTGCTTATACGGTGAATTTTATCCAAAAATCTCAAAGTACTTCATACAAATTAGCTCACAATTCAGTCCCTTTAAAATTGTGAACGAGGATTAATGAGACTCCTGCTCCACATATGGTATAGCATGGAGTTTCTGGAAATCTTGGATAAAGTGAATGAGACACGACAAAGCTGCCAGCAAGTTTGCAGATGCGCCAGAAATAGCAAACGCGATTTCTGCTTTGCTGTTTTAACCGCCAGACACACACAAATTCATAGATATTAAATAATTAAAACAGCAGACTAAGACACGGTCTAGAAGGAAGTCTGTGACTCCGAGTCGGCCTGTGTGTGAACCTGAAAAAGAGTCTCCTGGATGGTCGTGGTGGTCTCGTTTCCCCGTCCGAGGTGAGCTGGTTTCTAAGAGTCCTTCTAGGTCAGCCATTCGGATTCTCTGTGGACCTGACTCTGGAAAGGGAGGCTTGCCTGAAAATAAGAAAGGTTCAAATATTTATGGAAATAGTGAGGCAGAGTGGTCCTGTGTCTCTTCTTTCTTATTCTTTGTGATATTTACTGGATTCTGCCTCTTTCCTGGTAGCCCTCAAAACTAGCTCTTATTACTTTTAAATTGCTATTTCTCCAACTTCTTTCCAACAACGTCAGGTGCAAATTAAGTCAGTTATATTATTTTCTCTATCACTATATAATTCACTTCACTCTTTATCTTTTCTCCAGGGATGAAAACGTGGGCAATGAAAAGCAGGGTGGTTAAGAACGTGATTTCTAGAATCGTACTGCCTAGGAATAAAACACAGCTCTGGAATTAATTTGGTGTGTAACTTTGGACATGATGAGTACCCTTGATTCTTCTTCTTTTTTTTTCTTCTTCTCTTTCCTTTTGATAGATACCTGCCCCCGGACTCCATTCCGTGCCATCTTGGTAACACAGATTGAAAAGCTAAGAAATACATCTGCCAGAATCCACTGCCATCCATCTTCTGGTTTAAGTTCCTTTAATGAGGTATATTTGTGTGAGATTTTGGAGGCAGAAAAGAAACAGAAATTAATATAACTCCTCCCCCAGGGACAGGCAAATGCATGAGCTTTGATAGTAGACAAATATGAGGTTTTGCCAGTGGCTTTACTGAGTTCCCTTGAGAATGACCATCTCAGTGGCATAGGTAGCTGAGACCATTGTCAGTAGTTTCCAGCAATGTCTGTAATATCCCGATTTTTAAAAAGAAAATAGTAGTTTTCAGTTAAATTTTACTTCTTCTTATTTTTCAGTGGTTTTATAAGCACCTAATTCCCTAAATTAAGTGCCTTCCAGCTTAAGTGGTTTCTGTTTTCTTGACTAATCCCTGGTTTATATATTTTATATATAGAATCCTATCACAGATAGAATTGAATTCTATCACAGATTACTGAGCAAGAAAGGGAGGAAATAAAATAATTAATATTAGTAATACTAATAGTTGTTAACATTTAGATCTTTACCTGAATGACGTCATTTTAGTGAGCCTTTCCTAACTACTCTACCTAAAATTTCAAAACTGCTCCCTTTTCCTTGCTCTTTGAAAATGGCTTAGCGTTTTTCACTGTTTTGAATAATAGTTAACTTTTTTGTTTATCTTGTTAATCACTTTTCTTTCTGGGAATGTATTAAGCCCTTGAAGATGAGTATATTTGACCACTTATTTCACTGGTGAATCATCAGCCCTTCAAAAAGTGTCTCGTTCGTATTAGGTGTTCAGTAAATGATTGTTCAATTAATGAATGAATGGAATGCTTACTATGTACCAGATTGTATTCTATGTGTCATACGCATATTACCTTTTTAAATCCTTGTTAAAAAAAAACTTATCCAATGACTATTACTATTATGCTCAATTTACAAGAGCAAAGTCAGAAACAGAAGTGGTGAGTAAAGCTTGGAATTCAGGCAAAGTCCCAAACCTATGCAGTTAACTATGATAGCACATTGAATATATACTCTTTTTCTGGTACTGAACTAGGTGCTTGAAATTGTCTTGAAATCTCAGAAGGATACCATGTGGTATGTATATTTATACTAATCATAAAATAAGAAAATTGAGCCTCATAGAAGTAAAGCAATTTTTACAAGATGATACAGTCACTTAGTGGCATAGATCAAATCCTCACCTAGGTCTGACTGACACTAAAGTCCCAGGACTATGCATCTTACCAAACTAGGGAATGTTTTCAAAGGTCATCATATGCTTTGCTCTTGAATTCAGATAAAACAAATAAAGAAAAGTTATATTATATATACTGCCCATGAGTAAAACCAGAGCAATAAGTTTAAATCTGCATATGCTTTTATTAGGATGGACAGAGTTTAGTACAAGGGAGGTCTTCTTGTCATATGTTAGTATAATCTTGGTTATAGCATATTATTTTCATTAAGCAATAACTGTTTCCAGGGTGTGAGCCTACTTGGCTTATAATAGAACACAGTGTAAATACCATACCCCCAATTCCAAAGCTCAGCAAAAGCAAAACAGCTGTCTTATATGAGGCATTTTTATAGGATGAATGAACAGCTCACATTGTTACAGAAAGGCCAATTTTATGAAACCACACTTGAAAAAGCAAGTTGGGCTCTGCCCTTCTTTCTTTTGTTAGGAAAAAAAAGAAAGAAAAAAAGCATAAGATGTAGACAGCAGCATCTCTTAGAATGTCTCTGGTTATGGATTCTTCTTTGGAAGAGACCCTGACTTCCATTCAGTAATCATATAAACATCGGAGAGAGTTTAGCCAAAAAGAGGGATAAGATGCTTGAAATGGACACTGTTATTTCCAGGAGAGTGCAGGAGAACCTTATTAGACAAGGCATAACTGCAGAGAGAAGTTTTTCATTGACTGCAGTCACCATTTACATGGAAGAGGAGGATATGATTCAGAAATGAGCTGTCCTTTCTCTCTGCCGTGCCATTCCCCACCCCCCCATATGCCCCGAATTTTCACTCTAGTCATGAGAATATGCTAATCTGGAATTTGGTGTAAGGACATTATTTTTCTTTTTTATTGAATGTACATATCCCTCACTCCTCACTTTTTCAGCCCTAATCAAATGCAGCAGGCTTTTAGACCATCTTCTGTGATATTTACTTCTTCTATGATCATGTTTTTAGCTTGACAATTATTTCATTTGTAAAGATAAAAGCATTTCAGTATATAAGGAAACATTTTTTCTCCATGTAATAATACTGTTGTTGAATGTGGTCAGACTTTGAAGTTTTTATGTAATGGAAAACTGAAGCCATTGGGCGTATGCAGTGGAGTTTAGTATCAGGATATGTAGAAAAAATCCTAGACTGGGAATTCAAGAGACCTAAATCCTGACCCGGATTGTTCCACTAATTAAGAGTGTAACCTCAGATAATTCATTTAACCTTTCTGGTCTTCAGAATCTTCTTTTATAAAAGATAGAGACTGTCATGTCCCCAAAGTGTATTATTTTATCTCATCACAAAAGAAAAAAAAAAGCACATAGGAAAAAAATGCAAAATTATACAAAGTAAAAAGTTTATTTAACGAATCAGGTTTTTATATAAATCACAGGAATAATTTCTTTTTTAATTCATGTCAGGCCAAGGATGACCAAATAAAGCAAAAGGTAGGATAGCTTATAAAACAGTAATATTAATAATAATAATAATATCTGAGCTTAATTATGAGGACAGTTTGGTAAACTCAGATGAGTTTGGAGCTTTGTAGATTGTTGTCCTCTTACATTATTTATAACTATAGACAGACTTCATGATGCATGGCCCCTATATTTACCTATGGGAGTTGATAACTAGGGTCTTTATTTGTTCTTACCAGGAATTAGCCATCATAATGATGAGATATAATTTAACAGATCAGGGCAAAGTCATACATAGGATATTCCGTCAGTGGAATAGAATGCAAGTTAGGGCAGATTTTTGGAGTCCTAAAACTATATTAAGTTCTTTCAAGTTGGTAAAGCCATTCAGATTAATTGTATTTATAAGAGACAATGGTTTGGTAAGCCAACTACATAATGGCCTTGAGAAGCAAAAGATAAATCTGTCCCTGGTGAGTAGCAACTTGTCTGCTCCTTAACCGTTTCTGCTACATCCAACAGGCATAGTGAGTTTGAGTTCAAATATCTAAAGGAGTAGATGGCAGTTTAAACGAGCACTGTGTGTACTATGCTTTTGGTAAGCTGGCATTTTTGAATTTGTCAAATAGCTTGGAACAAGTAGGTGGTGTGTAATGCTAACATGCCTTCTCATGCTCTGGCATTAAGGATCTTCCATGGTTTCCAATTGGTGATAATCACAAGCTGTGTTTGCACAATTTAGGCTTTAGTAGAATACTTTCTTTGGAAGGAAACTTTGGGTGGTTTCCCAGGTTTGATTTTTTTTTTTTTAATCACTAAAATGTGTTTTTGGATTGATGCAAATTAACTTGTGTCATTGTGCTGCAATTAAATGTGTATGGCCTGGCAATTATTTTCCTTCTCTTTGAAAAACATTTCTGTTTGTTTATTCTTTCAGTGCGGCTCAGAGGAAACCCAATCCACACTGGAACAAGTCTTTTCAAGACATGGATGTAATTTGGTGGTGAGATGGATTCGGCATTATTCCCATGACCTTTCCCAGTTTCACCTCCTTCCTTGTGCATTCATTTCATCCTCAAGGTGGAAACGTTAAACGATACGGTTACGTGTTTAAGATCTCAAAGAAACCTATCTAAGTACTCTTTCGAATTGAAATTGGCAACATGAAAAATGGGCTGACTGCAGTGTTGCTAAAATTTACCAACATCACACAATTATACAAAAATACTATAATCCTTGTAAAGGAGTAAGTTACAGTCATTTTTCAGGAATGTGTTTTTAAATAATTTGAGATAAACTCAAAAAGAAATCTAGAAATAAATGTTACTGGGGTGATTCAAAGAGCTCTATAACTTTTCTAGTGTTTGTTTTATTTTATATTATCAGAATAGCTTTGCTTACATCAAAATATGCCCGAGGGCTAACTCCAGGAAATCATAACTGAGATGCAGCATGGTGTGCTCTTAGTCTCTGCAGTTTTATGGAGAAGCACAGTGGAAAGTGGAAGAGAGAATCTACTAATGTAGACTCTTTAGTAGGTAAACCATCATATTTATTTTATTTATTTTTTTGTTCAAGTACTACTTTTAATCCATACAGTGAACTCACTGAATACTTAGAACATCTGAATCCCTCATGGACATATAACCTGAGGCTGCCTTCTTTCTAGGTAGAGGTCACCAAAGGAAAGGGGAGCTCCCTGGGGATGGACTGTGGAGAGGCTGTCATCTCCCTGAATAGTCTGTAAAATTTGAAACAGGTGAGCATAGTCGGGGGAGGGGACAACCCACAGTTTCACCAATCCTCAAAAATCATAACTTAGAAAAAGTTCAGGACGACCTAGGTAGAAGTTTAACCACCTAGTTTGGGATTCCCAGAGTTTATCTGTTGAGTTACTTCTTTGCTCCTCATCTCCCAAGTCCTCTGGTACATATCTGGTAGAAGTACCTGCTAATGGAGAAGCGTGATGGGCAGCCAAGAGGATCCACATGAATTGTGGAGGACACGTACGCTGCTATCTGCCCACATCTGTGGCTTTTTCCATCTCTTCCCTTGTAGGAAATTCTCCAAGACACAAAAAAAGTAGAGAAAGAGTCAGGGGTGTCTATGGGAGAACGATCTCCCTTTCACATGTGTCCAGCAAAGCCGACTTTCAAGAGCCCCTGATTAAGGGAGAAAGGCAGTGCCAGAGCAGGTCAGGCTCTCCGAGGCGCTCAGAATGTCTAGGGCTCCCAACAAGAGTCAGTCAAGCTGGAACTCCAGCGGCTTCCCTGAGATAACACGGGCTCAAGTCTCACTCTTTCCAACTAGCATTCACCTTGCTTTCCTGGAAGATAGTTTTCTATATGCGGCAAAGATTATGACAGAGAATTGATTCTTGTAAATGTATAATTTGATTTAGATGACTACTCAGTTCAGTTCCAATTATTAGACTGATGTTGTATCTGTACATAACTTAAAATGTATCGAAACAACAGGGACACATCGCAATTGGATCTTTAAGGAGCGTTTTGCTAACAGACTTGGATCCAGCAAATCATCTACTGTGCTGGTCTTACATATAAACTTCTTGCTTTTGCCAGTGTCTTTCTGCACTGTTTTTTTCCACATATAAATCCTCTCCTGGGTCTATCCCTGATGCTAAATAATATACCTCAGACTTTTTCTCTACGTCGTCTGGGTGGCAGTCTTATCATTACTTTACGAGAAAGCAGGACAAAAGGGGCAAAGTAATTTATTTCATCGTTTTTTTTCAGCAACCCTTTCTGTCCTTCAAATGAAAACTCACCTAGAGGTCCAAGAAGAAGAATTATATAATTAAGGAGCTTTTTTTTTTTTTTTTCAGGACACAGTAGCTCCCTAGTGCATAGGAGTGGGGAGCAAAACTAAGACTCAGGGGAACCCAGTAGAAAAAAACATTCTCTAAGGTTTTGATTATGAGATCTGTAAGTTATTTTTTACATACTTCACAATGATATTATGTAGGAGGACGTGTGTATTCTTTAGTTTACCCTGTAACCTGATGCTTCTAATATTTAATAAAGAATTCACACAGAGATCATCAGTGAGGGAGCTTTGAGTGTGCTAATCAGAAATGCAGGGTCCAGAACCAGAATTTGGCCCTCAAGAAGCCTATCTTTGAGAAACAGCAACTTCAGCTGCTTTGTTACTTGCATCTGGATCAGTCAGTTGCTTTGATCATTAATATACGGAATGTCAGAAACGGAGCATTTATTGGTGAAAGTAGTGAATGATTGACAAGGATGATTCATGTTAAAAGTGGGTCCTTGATAGGGACATTTAAAATACTCAGTGTATGTCTATTGGCTAAAATATTAAGAAGATACTTCCCACACATGCATGGACAATAAGAATTCAGGGAGGGTTTTTTCTTTGTAGCCTACACCCTTGGAAAAGTTGTCCTAATCTAAAGCCCCAAAGATTCTTGTGTCCAACCTTGGAATGTGGAGGATTCTGGTTGTTTGATTCAGCTGTAATGGTGGAAGAATCCTGGCTGTAGAATGCTATGTCTGCTTCTGGACACACGTTAGCTGACTACTGCCCTTTCAGATGCTGTTTTCACAAATTGCAAGAATTGTTCACTTGAGACAGATAGCAACATTCCAGAAGACTTCCTTGAGTCAATGGAATAGGTTATATGAACAATTTTTGCTTTTGCTTTCTAAGCATTGTTTTGTGTGTGTTTTGTTTGTTTGTATGGCAGAATTTAGACTGAGACCTCATTTCATTTTAACTGGTAGCAAGGCTGTAGGTGGAGTAGCTTGCTCTGACTCACCTCGAAGTTCACTGGTGGTCGCTGGTAAAGATCAACTAGTTATTCATAACCAGGTTGGCAGGAGTCCATTTTCCATTGTCTCTTACTACTAGAAATTTCTTCAATTTGAAGAATGACAGCACAGTTGGTACAATGTTTGTATACCCCCACAATGACAGTGTTTAACTTTGACCCTAACTTAATCATTCATATCTGTGATTTTCCTGAAGTAACTTGTTTTGATGTCAAGAGAACTACCAGAATCAGCTGACAGCTACTTTTAGAAATATATTTTTTCCAGTTTTATTACAAAATAATTGCTACATAACACTGAATAATTTTAAGGCATAAAGCATAATGGTTTGATTGACATGTACTGTGAAATGATTACCACAGTAGTCAGCTAACATGTATCATCTCACATAGATACTATAAAAGGAAAAAGAAGAAGAGAAGAAATGAAATCTGTTTCTCCTGGTGATGAGAACTCTTCGGATTTACTCTCTTAACCCTCCCGTGTATCACTCAGCAGTGATAACTGGAAGGTTTTGCCTTTTGACCACCTTCTTCCCACACTTCACCCCTGGTAACCACAAGTCTGATCTCTTTTTCCTAAGAGTTTGCCTTATTATGTGTTTTGGATTCCACATGGAAGTGAGACCATACATATTTGCCTTTCTATGACATCTACTTTTTTAAGCGTTTACTCTAGAAAAAAAGAAATGTGCTCTTTCCTTAATAACTTTAAAGCTTATTGGTGAGAAAAGATATGCAGAAAAATTACTTATAACATATGAAGAGATAGATAATGAATGAAAGCTTAAATGATAAGGAAATAAATTCAGAAACAATTCGAAGAGAAAGAGAAATCTGTGACCATGGTGAGCGAAGGAGTATGAGTGTGGAAGCAGGTGTGTCACATGCCTGAGATTCAGACAGGGCTTAACACAGGAAGGAAGTCCCTCTAACCAGCTTTTGGGAACAAAGATGGGTCAGGGTGAGCTTATGGAATACACTGAACTGCAGTAAAGAGCTCAGATTTTTAAGTATCTTGGGCGGTGGGGGTATTTTTCTCTCCACTAAATCCCTTCCATTCTGAATGGGACGCAACCTAAAACTTGTTGAAAGGATAGCGGCCTAGCTCCAGGAAAGTGTTACCAGAAGGATGTTATGCTTCTGGGAGATTTTCTAGATGGGGAACATCAGGCTTCACATCCCCAGGAGCTGGCAGGAAGTTAGCCCTCCTCTCCTCCTTTTTATGTATCTGCTAGGAAATAACTTCTGCTCATTTTCCCAGAAAAAAAGTACAGGGTGAGATTTGGAAATTAACCTGGCCAGTGGTTTCCCAAGATAGGAAAGTAGCATTGAAGTTAATGGCAGGTCAGAGGGGAGCAATCAAAAGCATCCTCCCCTGAAATGCTTTGAAATTTCAAATGTTTGGAAGCTCATCTCTCTCTCCTCCCTGTAGTCTGTCTCTTTCTTCACCTCTCTCTAATCTGTTTTCTTATCTCATTAACCAGAACAGTCTGATTCTACCCTAAGTAGACAGTGCAAAGTTGTAAATTCCTCAATATTGCAATCAAACCTGCAAAGAAAAAGTGACTTCTCTTTCTTTCTCTGTAATTTCGTTGATCTCCTTCATGAGTTCCCAGGTAGATGATTTGAAGAGATAAATTTATTCCAGGTAGCTTTATCCCAGCCAGGTGTTCTTACTCTGATTTAAAAGCATAAACTATTTTTCTATTAGGATGACTTAGGTTCTATTCAGTATATTGGAGCTCTGTAGCATCCTCTCTTTCTCTCGAAGTAGGCAATTGAGATTATGGTAGGAGGTAAGTTTAGGTGGCATCAGAGCAACTAACATAGTTAATGGAACCTCTGGGAAGCAGGTGCTGAAACAGAGTAGGAGTTCGAGGGATTTATTGCAAGGCAAGACCTGTGAAAACTAAAAAAGGGAGGATGCAGGATTGAACAGGAAATGCCTTCTGATCACAGGTGTGGTATCTGTGAAAGGAAAGATAGCAGGAAGCAGAACTGGGCAGGAAGACTAGGTTGCAGATAAGACAGAGGCTTGGCCAGTGCAACAGGAAGGTCCCTGGGAGAGACTGGCTGTTAGGGGAGTCTCATGTTCTGCAGTAATAGCCCAACCCTACTACCTCAGCTATATTTAGTTATTGTAAGGGGCAATGCAAGGCTAGTCTTGTCTCAAAAGGCAAGTGATACTGTAGGCAGTGAGGAAGCTGCTGGCTAACTGCACTATTTGCAACTAAATGGAGAATTCTGTCCTGAACAGAGGTCTGAGCGGCACATTTCCATCATGACCACAGGTTCTTTGGATTCTTAGGTTTTTATTGGTCTGTCCTCTCTCTTCACAGACGACTGCTGAGGGGCAACTGGTGCAGTTCTTAGGGGGTCTGTCACTTTCCCTTAATGAGGCTGGTATAACGTGGGATCTTTTCTTCTCGGTCTTGGTCAGGACTTACTCACTCGGCCACATCTTGGCTTTCACTGTGCTCTGACACCCTCTGGCTGAGATCCCCAGAGAGCTCTTAAATGACTTTCGCATGTTTTGCAGGGTCCACAGGAACCCCTGAATACATTATACATAAAAATGGACAGCAGCAGGGTTCTATTTAAAATACAAAATGACAGATCACATTTGAATTTGAATTTTTTTTTCAGTGCAAGCCTAACCCAGCTGTTACATGAGACATTTATACAAAACACATGCACACACACACACACACACACACACACACACACACACAAACAAACTCAAGCTAACAAACAAAAAAGTCATTTACTGATCCAAAACACAAATGCCACTGGGTGCCCTTTTTATCTTTTTGTTTGCTAAATCTGACAACCCTGGAGGGTAGCTCTGTGTAACTAGGTTCAGAGTCTCTCTTTATCTAATTACAGTGCATCATCCTATTTGGTGCAGTTACCTCTGGGTGAGAGAATAGCTTGCCAGGGGATAGTCTTTCAATGTCCAAAAATAAATAGGGCAAAAGCCCTTCCATGGCTGGCATGACTCTCTACCTATTTAGCCCATGTCCTCTCTCTCAGATTTTGGCCTGCACAAGGGAGCTTGGGACACACGTCTAATCACCTGCTGCCCTGTGGTCTCTCCCTCTTCTACCAACAGCATTTATGGAGATCAAAAAGGGTGGGCTTGGGGATCTCTGTTTCCTGTTTGTCATGATCTAGTTACTGGCACTATCATGCGAGTGAGCCTGCCTTTGGCTAAGTTCGAAAGAAAATTTGAAGAAATGTTAGGAAATCCTTTCTTACTCAACCAAGTCCAGTAATGATTACTTTTGTTGTAGCAAAGAGATGAAGAATATCCGCTTTCATTCATTTCTTTGTTCATTCAAGAAGTATTTATTAAGTGCATACTATGTGCTAGGTTCCTTTGTACTTGCTGACCAAGAGCAGGAAACAAAAACAGAGTCATTCTTCTCATGTAGCTTAGTTAGAGGCTAGAGAATTTAAAACAAAGCTGGTGAAGAAACCAGGCAGTACCTGCCCTCCCTCCCCTTCTCTAATGTAATTAGCCTCACG